CACCTTTATTCTTTTCTTTACAATAAGGCTTTCAAATAAGTCATGGTTGTACGGCAGTGAAGCATCGGTGTTGAACACTGATGCCATGCTGTCGATGATGATGATGATGACCTATACTGGTCAGCGAGGCTGATATAGCCCCCAGCAACCCTTTTCCTTATTTAGATATTAGTGCCATTCTCGAAAGGGCTATTCCTCACCGCGCATTCTTCCATACCAGATTGTTCAATGCGCAACTGTCCGTCCCACACACACCCCATGAATCCATGCCGCAATATGTGTTTTGCTCCATGAGGCTGAACTAGTCTAATTGTGTTGGATTGGTCGCCGTTTCTCTACATTCATGCGTTTATTACATCCGGTTGACTCAAACAGCGCGTTGTATGACGCGTTTTGGTTGCACTTTGATTGTAGCTGTCCTACTAGAGGACAGTGAAGCGTTAGCGTTCAGCGTATTGCGTATTGCTGCCAGTGATATTGGTGACTACCAGATTTCAGTGGTGAACCACCTGATCCTCGAAGTGACTCAATAGTCAAGGCACAAAATCATTGGATGGAAGGTTCATGGTGCGAGCCCAATCCATATTTCTTGACCACTCTTGCCGGGGCATGGGAAATATCTGCGAGTGTATAAACCCTTATTCTTCTGTCATCTTGAATGGCCCGGAAGGATGTGACGGCCCAATTATGATCGTTGTTTGTTTGTTTCATTACCTCTGAAAATTCCTTGAGCGCCGGGATTCACCCTTTCATTTTATGACCGTTTCGGACTTTCTCTTTCTGGAGGGTACCGTTAGTGGTACGGCTCTGCCCTGTTTGACGCGTTATCATCGTTTCTTCCGCCAGGTACTAATCTGTCCCAACCTAAAGCTGCCACCTTGGGAAAGACGGTTAGAAAAGGTCGGCCCCAAAAACCGCACACTCCGATCGCCCAACGGTTGACCGTAACCGCCGGCGCATTATCCGATACGGGCGAAATACTTTTGAAACCAAAGAGCCCAGTGCTGCTCAAAAGGCAGCTGCTGTGCGCAGCCGCATCAGGAATGAGACAGTAATGCCTTATTCCCTGCGCCCTCGGTTTAGGCCAATCCCCTGCAGCCGAGCAGGTCAGACTATTGAGTCATCGTCTCTGGGCAGGGTCCCCAAAGAAAACCCTACATTCTCCCACTGCCTCGTGGGTCAGACTTTTGAGTCAGAGGCTAGGGTCAGGGTCCCCGAACGAAACCCTACATCATCCCACTGCCTCGTGGGTCAGACTTTTGAGTCGAAGGCTCAAGGTGGGGTACCTCAACCAAACCC